AGTAATGCACTCGTCAGTAATTTTAGCATATCATATTATAAATTTAGAATTATAACTATCGTTTAATAATTAATTCTTTTACCTAATTAGGAATCCATAAATAATATTATATATTTTCAAATAAAAAATTAATTATATAATTATATGTAATATTATATATTTATTACAATACCATACCCGTGTCATTGTATCTCTAGGATTTTCGATTTCATATATCATTCTTGCGTAAAGTTTCTGGAATATTACATCATAAAAAAGTATATATATTTTCTTATTTTTTGTGATTTAAAAAGGGTGCAAATGTCATTTAGCCTTTAAATCAGAAAATGCGAGGCTTCGCAGGAATCTTTTCTATTTTGCCTCTTTGTTTTCCCGCTCTTATGTCCCCTCGTTTTCTCCTCCTTTCTCCTGCGGCGTTTCGTGCCCTCACCGTCTGGAGGGAAGCTTGGGCGGCGCCTGGTGAGGCTTTGTTCGCCACGATCCGATTCCGAGGATCATGAAATTTGGATCGAGCATTTTTTAGGCTTTTTAGCCTTCGTTCTGTGCCGTGGTAGTCGGATCGGCTCTCCCGTGGCCCCGGTTGTCGCCGTTTAGCGTCGGATTAACTCAAGCATGGCACCTCTGTTTCCTATCTGTCCATCCTTGTGAAGACGGTAAAGATCCCCTAACTCCTAATATCTGACCAAATACTCTGTTCGGCTTCTAAATTAGATTCTTACATATAAATTCCACTTTTTATCATCGTATACATTGTTCTGCAAACATGGTCGATTTTGCGTCTTTAGAGAAGGTTTTGAATCTGATAAAGCATGAACTTAGGTAGAGAAGATTTTCATGTTATTTTTTAGGCATATGGTAAGGCGGATGAATGCAACAACGCTGTTGAATTGTTTGATAGAATAATTGATAAATTTCATTGTAAACTTAGGGTTAATTCGTCTTCATCTGTTCTTAATGTGAATATACACGAGGTTTTTGTTATCAAGCGATGGAGTTTTATGATTGAGTAGTTAATGCTAATTAAGTTGGTAATCTTTCACCCCCTTTTTTTTTTTTTTTTTTTTTTTTTTTTTTTTTAAGTTTAATTTCATTATTAAAGTTATGTGAAGGTTAGTGTTGGTTGATAATGGAGTAGAAGTGTTTAGAGAAATGTGTGCCTAATTTGTATTGTTAAAATACATTGAGGCAACAGGAACTTGGGGTAGCTCTGAGATGCAAGGTATGGCAATTTATTTCCCCCTCTGCATTGAAGACTATTATTTCAATGTGCCTTATTGTTTTTTCCCATATTTAGGATCAATTCTTATCTACGTTTATAGGGAGAATATGCTTTTATGTACATTAGTGATTTAGTGCTGAATTGCAACAGTCATCCTGAGTTGTCATTGGTTTTCTAACTTGTTTGAAACTGAATTGCAACAGTCATCCTATTTTCCTGTTTTATCAGACTAATTTGTTTGATCAATCTAAATTTAGTGGTTGGGGTACAAGGATAATCATTTTCCAGTTGCTTACATAGGATTTTGATGTAATTGACATTCGACTATGAGTTGTGAATTTCAATGGAGGGAATGCACTCATAGGCCCCAGCTTAATTTGGTTAGATAAAGCTGTCAAATGACTTGTTTTTGGAGGGTCAGGCACCCATGTAGGGCTCATATATGTGTAATTCACTAATCCTTGTACTTTTATTTATACCTCCAAGATTACATATCTCTCTCTATTTGGAAAACAATGTTTTGGAACTGCAGTTATTGAAACATATCATGCACCATATATAAGAAAATATAGGACCTAAATATGACAGATTAGTTGTGAGTTGTGACAAGATACCTGAGGCATGTTTTTGTGTTTCTTGTAGGAGTAGATATTTTTGCATCATTTGATCTTTGTGAAGTCCTATATTTATGGGAACCCATCCCTCCCCCCACATAAATAATTCAATACTAAAAGTCTAAAAGTAATATAATTTTGCTCCTTTGAGACTTTGTTTGAAATCTTGCCATCTTCTATGGTATGTAATTAAAAATAGGAGTTTTACTTTGCTTATATGCATTCATTTTGTAGCTTCTTGATATTCTTTGCATCATTTGATCTTTTCCACCCTTCCATTTTAAAAAACGGAGTATGAATCTTCTATGCAATATTTGCAGGGGTCTGTGGATGTATTACATAAGATCTGAAGAAGCCTGTGGAGCCAATGATTTCTGCCCCACGTATCCTTTAGACATACCATGTTGTTTCATTTCTGTTTAAATCCATCCACATTTTGTTTCATTGACAACTATCCTCAGTAAAGTACATGATTTAGCACTCTATCTCCTTTATTTATGATTGTATTAAATTGTTTAATTGTTGATAGTTGTGAGCCATTTTCTAAAATTCCATGGGTTGATTATGATGGGCCATTTTCTGAGATTGTCTGCTAGGCCATTGCCTTGTTGAAGGAGATGATTTTTTCATTTCTTAGTTAATGTGTGAAGCTCTGGGGAAATTGTGAAATTTTTTAATTTCTGGTTTCATCCATTTTAGTAGTTTTTATTTTTGTTGTTAAATTTCTTGGATTTGTAAATGGCCATTATTAATTTTT